TCTCCCTCCCTTCCCCTCTCTCTAAAGATAAATAAATAAAATATGTTTGTTTTTTTAAAGTAGGAACATTTAGCCCTGGCTGGCGTAGCTCAGTGGATTGAGCGCAGGCTGTGAACCAAAGTATCACAGGTTCGATTCCCAGTCAGGGCACATGCCTGGGTTGCAGGCCATGGCCCCCAGCAACCGCACATTGATGTTTCTCTCTCCCTTTCTCCCTCCCTTCCCTCTCTAAAAATAAATAAAATAAAATCTAAAAAGAAGGAAAATAATATAAAGTAGGAAAATTTTTTTTGGTTGGGGTTTCCCCCCTCCCTTTTAAAGAAGTGCTAAGCCCTATAAATAAATATAAAATACGCTCTTCAATCTTGTCAGTAATCTCTAATCAGTTTTTAAAGTGGATGTGATAGAATCATACGCCTGGGGTCTAATTCTCAAATTTGCCGTTTGGAAACAGTAACAAGAACTCCAGTAAGAGACAGACCCCACAAGGAGCAGTGTTAAAGAGAATATCTGAGACAGTTACAGCTTCTGTTGACGCTGACCAAATCACTTCAGAAAGCCGTGTCCTCTCCGCCGTACAGCGCGGTCCGTGGTATTTGCAGAGCACGTCGCAAGTGCCTGTTAAAAACGGCTGGGCGAGGGCAAGTATTGCTCACCATTAACCCCGCCTCTCAGGTCCTTTTCTTTCGCAGGAGAAAGGGGAAGTGGGTGGTTCACAGTTCAACACTCAGGCTCCTGCTAGGGATAATTGCTTGGTTTTCTTTTACTCTTCATGGCACTTCTTGAATCAGATTAATCTCCTTATATTCCATCTCTTGTCTATTCAAGACAGCAATTTCTGGGACTAAAAATATAACAAAACACAATACTCATTCGCATATAAAAGCCAGACCAAACCTCCTTTTATTCTGAAACCTGTTATTTTTGGGAAGTGTTCTTTGCAGTGTGACACATTGAAGATCCCACCCGTCGGGGGTGCCCCGTCACAAAGCACTTGCAAGTTCACTGTGATCCCCGGGCAGCTGCACGGCTAATGCCAGAATAGAGGTTCAAGTCCGTTCAGGTGGTGCCCGCACAGATCTTACAAGTTCAGAGACTCCGAACAAAGGACAAAGGCAACATTTCCATTACACTGAGGGCTGAAGCACCTCTTAGGCGGAGATTGTAATGAACTCACCAGATGCACCAAATCATTTAAAACAGCGCACTCCTCTGAGCTTCCCTGAGTGGTCCCTGCTTTCTTACAAGACAGCAGGTCTGCGTGTCAGCCGACACTGCAGCCCGTGCTCAGCAGTGCTCCTCTGTGTGGCTTCAAAGGGGCCCCGCGGGGTACCTGGCAGTGTGGCGCGGCGCGTGCGCACACGTGCGTGTGTCAGTGTGTTCCGAAGTGGACTTCAAAGGAACTAACAGATTCAGCTCAGTATCTAACGGGACCTCAACCACAGCAACGGAAAACGGGACAATGATGAGTGGAGTGAGCAGGAAGTATTCATCAGCAGGCGTGCAGAGTGAGCCTAAATTTCGTTCTGCGTTTCCTGGCAGCAAGGTGAGCATATATTAGGTTACATAATTACCATCACATGATAAAAGACGGCAACAAAACTGATCTGGAGAGAAACATTTTCCTGGCAGAAAATTCCAAGAGGAACTTAATTCATAGGATCTTCTGTGAGACACTTAATGAAGAGTGTCTTCAACTGAGACAGAAGTATTCACACCGATGTTTTCAATACCAGCTCTCCGTAAGAGGTGAAGGACTCCCTGAAGACTTTTCCGAGGGAGCCTGTGTGTCTGGTTTCCCGCCCTTACGACTGGGCTACCCCGGCTAGTCTCGCAGAGTGGGAGTGTGGCCCTTGGGCTGGTACCTCCTCTGGACCTGCCGGTTTCTAGCCCGCCCACAGCTGCGTTCTCTTCCTGTCTGAAGTGCATTCGGGCTGCTGATCAAGGACGGACGCTGATGTGAAGGAGGCAGGCCTAGCATCCTGCTTCGAGATTTCGGGGCCCAAACTCCAAAAGGAGGATCCGTCTGCCTGTGCACAGAGTTGGGCTTTGGGGGACTTGCAGGAAGGGCCGACTTTTCTCAGGGGGGCTTTCAATCAGCCCCCACTTTCAGATGCACACCGGGACCCCAGAGCACGGAAGGAGCCGTTGGAACCAAGCACTTTTGATGGAAGGGTTGCACTGCATGCCACGAGGGACCAGGCGGGAAGCATGGGAGCCAGGTGGCAGGTGTTGGGCGCATGGCCCGCTCGCCCGCTCTTGGGTCGGGGCCGGGACTGGCGAAGGGGCGGACGGGGCCACCTTCGCTCGGCTCTGACTGACGTCACCACCTGTGTGAGCTGTGGCCCAGGATGGCCAGAGCTCCCAGTTTCGGGAAAGGCTAGAAATCTTGACTTTACAGGATATCTAATGAATTAGGATACAGTCTCAGAACACATTTTTTTCAAAACATTTTGCAGGCCAAACCAAATACATCTATAATCAGTTTCAGCTTATGGGTCTTCAGTTTGCAAGCTCTGTTATACAGCAAAGCCTTACTCCTGGCTGGCATAGCTCAATGGATTGAGCGCGGGCTGCAAACCAAAGTGTCACAGGTTCGATTCCCAGTCAGGGTACATGCCTGGGTTGCAGGCCATGAACCCCAGCAACCGCACATTGATGTTTCTCTCTCTCTCTTTCTCCCTCCCTTCCCTCTCTAAAAGTAAATAAATAAAATCTTAAAAAAAAACAAAGCCTTACTAATCAAATGTTTTAACCATAAAATAGCCTCAGATTGGCCCAATTGAATTTCAGATTTGTAGCATAACTGAATCTTGATTTTAAAAAACAATTAAAGCTTGACAGAGTTTTCCCAGTGAGCTCATTAAACTGACCTAGTAAGTGGGAAAATGGTCATTTTCCCCCTTTTAATTGGTTATATTTTTCCCACACCTGCAGTAATTTGCCTTCTAATGTAGATGGTGTTGAGCTAATTTTCATTCTGATGTAGGTGTGGTGTTGGTTTCTTGCAATAATTATTCAGCACGCTCACCCCGTTCCTTAATTCAGCACCGCATTTGTGGGCCAGCACCACGGACAGTTCCCATGTGTGTTTTGTAAGATTCCGCAGCCTGATAATCTGTTCCTGGGCCACCTGGTATTTCAGTGGATGCTGATTCTGGAATGTACGACTAGGGGTTATTTTGGTGTGTGTTTGTCAGTAAATGGTGTACTTAAGTAATTCAGTATGTGATTGTTTACATTTGCCTGGTCATTTTTTTCTAGTTTTATTGAGATGTAATTGAGATATATATATAACATTGTGTACTTTTAAGGTGATGGTCTGATACACTTCCATGTTGCAAAACGATCACCACCTTGGCATTAGCTGACACCTCCAACCCCTCACATAGAGACCATTTCTTTTTGTGGGGAGAACATTTGAAATCTACTTTCTCAGCAACTTTCCAGTATATAGGTCTGGTCACCTCTGAGTAAGGAGGGGTAACAAGTATTAATAGGGTTTATTGAAGCCTTCCTCTGTGCCGTGCATTGGGCCAAGTGCTGCAGATACAGTAACTTGCGTAATCGTCACAGTGCTCTTTGAAGCAGGAATCGTCACGACCGTCGTCATCATCATCCCTACGTTACAGACATGGGCGGGCCGGGGCGAGGTGACGTGCATGCCTTGCCCGAGGCCCCACGGTCCGTAAGCTGTGGGGCCCAGGCAGCCAGGCGGTCTGACTCCGAGCAGAGCTCTCGCCGGCCCCAGAGCCCACACCAGGGCAGCGTGTCTTCCCTCTTGGGAAGCAGGCGTCCTTTGGGATCCCACAATGCCTTGGAAGCCTAGTGAGAGCTAAGAACAGAGTCCAAAGAGTGCTGGGGAACATGCGTGTGACCCCTCTCCCGCCCCTCCTCCTTGTAATCACTCAGGAACGAGTCATCAGAAGGGTCTTCCAGAAATTTACAGCAGGGGCCGGATCACATGGCGGGCCTGATGCTTGCTCCCGGACTCAAGGCTCATGATCCTTTAGCAAAACGTAGCCAGCGGAGACAAACCTTCCTGGTGCTGTCTCGGTTTAGGGGAACACGTTTCCCCACTCCTTCCCGGACAAAGCGGGGACACCTACCTAGAGCTCAGGGGCAGCCTGAATATCGGCTAGTTTGGTAGAGGTATGGTCTCTAGTAGTTGAGTGTAGGGGCATTAACACAGTATTAGTACAATATACTAACTTGCTTAGTATCCCAGTGTTTTTGGTAACAATATTAAATTTTAGTATAATTTTTATTCCTAAAAATCTTTTATCAAATATCTAGTCTAAAATACAATGTCCTTTTTTTAAATTCATGTTTAAATCAATGAGAGCTGTTTAGCAGAGGCTCAAAATGATCCCTGTTAACTTGTTTTCAAGTTATGTCTGATTCATGTATGTGGTCAAACCCACAACACATGCGTGTTTCGTATTACTAATACAATTCATGTTACTAATTGCAGCCATATGCATTTGAACACAATGTTATTGGTGGGAAATGAAGTATAAAGCATGAAAAATGTATCATTATTAAGGGGTGGAAATGACAGTTTTTAACTCCTTCCAGAACAGGGATGTTATGATACAGCTTTGATGGTTTCTCACTGCAGATGAGTCGAGGCTCCTGGGTAGATTTGGCGATCGGTTTCTTACCTTCCCAATTAATTGTAAACTCTTTCCTCTCATGGACAGGAATGATCTGGCACATTGGTTTTCCTACCACTGTGTGCCTGTCCGTGGACTCACGTTGTGCTCCTGCGTGGAGACAGGCAGACCCCTCGGAACAAGACAGACACCCTTAGACAGACCAGCGAGAGGACTTGAGTTGCGTCTCTGGTTTCTCTAATCTGATTTTACAAATGAAATAAAGACTACGACAGCATCTAAGATCCATGACATAATTTTTTTTTCAAAATTGAATGTGTTCGCAGGCTAGGTGTCATAGTTCTGTGAAATGCACACAATTAATGGCTCTGAATTTTGTTTCAGACGATCCATGGACACAAGGGACCGATCACCGCCGTGGCCTTCGCTCCTGATGGACGCTATCTCGCCACCTACTCAAACAGTGACAGCCACATTTCCTTCTGGCAGGTAAGCGTAGGTGCGACAGGGTCGTGGAGCACACGGCGTGATCTGCTGGGAAAGGCCTCCTGGTGCACCTGCCCACCCCTCTCCCTTCCTTCAACAAGCATCCTGTACTTATTGCTTGCCGACTGAGCGCCAGCTGCTAACATGCACTGAGGGTTCATTTAGCAACCTGGGAAGAGGGGTCCGCTCTCACGGAGCTCCCAGTCTCAGGGAGCACAGGGAAGCAAGGAAGCAACTACAGTTCAGGGGAACCTGAGCACAGGCTGTGGGGTGGCCTCGAAGAGGAAGTGACATCTGAGCTGAGCTGGGCTGATGCTGCGGAAGGAAGGGTAGGAGGGGTGGGAGTCCAGGGAGAGGGAGCAGCGGTCGGAGGTCAGCAGGCCTGGTGGGTGTGAGCGCCTGCCCTGGGAGAACTGGGCAAAGCCACATTCGGCTGCCCGCTGACGCGGGGCATTCAGACTGCTCTGGCAGGGCCCGGGGCAGAGGGGAGACGCAGGCGGCCGCCCGCTTTGCCTGCACGTCCCCTCTGTCGTGTCTGGGTTCTGGGTGCATTCCCAGCCGCCCACGCTGTGTTCTTCACTCCCAGACGACCCACACAGCCTCAGAAACCCGAGTGTCACTCACTGACTGGCGTAAGAATGCCTGTGTTCGATTCTGATTAAAGTAAATACTAACTCCGAACCACGAATTTTCACCCCAGAACTCGTTTCTGTTGCAAATAGAAGCTGTTCGTGGCTAGCTTCTATACAACCTTCCTTTTAATGATGTTACTCCTGATAATTACAAAAAAGTAAACATTACCAACTCCCCCCTCCCACCAATAATGTTCATTTAAAATTTTGTGGTTCCTTTTACTTTCCTAGGATACAAGTGTGTTTTATGAGATTCAGTGTAATGCTTTGAAAGCTATAAAAAAGTTTAGAGACTTCAGCACAGCTTGATAATGGTTTCTAAAAAAGCAGTGGCTAATAAAAATGTAAAACAGATACAATAAATTGCTTAACTAACGACATCCTATTGAAGCACAAGAACCTCCAAATCTGTCACAGACTTTTTCTAACTCTTCACCTGGTTTTAGTTTTCCAGTTTATGGCCTCATCGTCCTTTCTTCCAGAACATAACTCTGGCGTTTTCATCAGCTCTCATGACACCTTCCCCTCAGAGCCCTCACCCACCGGTCACTGGTCCTGGCAGGCGACCTCGGGGCCGTCCTGCGTTAATCCTGTTGGGAGCCCACACCCAAGACCCTCCACACCCATACACTGGGCTCTCGCGACACTGGTTCTTTACAGAGCCCGCCCACCAGGTGTTTCTCTCCCACGGTGGTCTCTTCACCCTGCCTGCCCTTAGGTACCAGTTCTGACTCATCTCCTGCTCCCTCGTAATGCGGGAGAAGTGCGGGGCTGAAGCTCCACCCGTCCGTTCAGCGTTCCTCCGGGCTGGAAGGGCGAGGGGCGGGCCAGCGCTTTAGGGACACCGGGGCAGTGAGTCACCGGCCCCTGCCTTTGAGGAGTTTGTGTTCTGACCATGTTTCTTCTTTGGAAAAAAACAAGACCCATCTCTGTCTTGTCCAACTTCACTTCCCCCACCAAGTAGAATTCCCTATATGGAGGAATCTGGAATGTTCTCCAGTGTTTTCCTGAACGTCTATGCGGTAAAACTTGTCCCTCTTACCTAGATGTTCAAGGTTCTGTCTGGGTAAGGTCATCCCCCCCTTGAATATTCCTCTATGTCGGAGCTGCTGTCTAGCGCACTGATGGAACCACAGTTAGCACCCTTTCTTACCCGCAGATCAAGGCCACCCATTAAATGAGGCCTCTTCGAGACACCTCTCCATCTTCCAGTTCTCTCGGGCTCTGGCTGCTGTCCTCTAGGCTTTGCTAAGTGCACTGAAACCTGCCGGCCAGTCCCTGGGGCTTTGTGCCCAATGTCCCCAGTCCCCACGCTTGTCTGCGGGCGCGGTGGCCTCGTGTTGTTACCTGCGCTCATGAGTGTCCCATGGACACAGCACTAACTCGGGCCACCCACTCCCAAGTCCTCATTGCTTGAAACCTGACGTTAGCATTTCAAATGCAGCCCCTTTCGCACACGCTTGAATAATACCCAGACTGTCCTTGGAATCTAGGAGGAAGGCACAGAAACATCATTTCAGCCTTGTCTCTCCCAGAAGCGTAGTGAGTTTTTATTTGGATTGAAGAGAGTCCAGAAAGCGGTGTTGGATTTACCACTGTTCTCCCCAAATGGACTTGCTGACTTATTTAGATACATATTGTTTGGTTCTAATGATGTATGATATAGCACTTCTGCAGTATTCCAGTAAATGGACTGCAATATATTTTGAAAACTTGACGAAGTCTTATTAATATAGAACCTTACAAAAGCCATCAACTATTAAAATCTCTGCTGAGAAATGAGTGTTAATGAGAAATATCGGTTGGATAATTACTCAAGTGAGACTTAGTAAAAGGTTCGAGTGCAGCATTACTTACACCGAGAAGAGCATTAAACATTTCCTGTTTTGATGAATTACATCTGTTTGTATGTGTTCGGAAAATAAGCTTTGTGGAACTGGTTTTGCGAAGCATTTTTTATCCTTATTTTTGAAAGTTAAACACTTTTTTATTGTGTATGCTATTACAGTTGCCCCAATTGTCCCCCTTTGCCCCCCTCCAGCCCTAGCCTGCACCCTCACCCCCAGTCAGTCCCCACACCATTGTCCACGCCCACGGGTGACACATACATGCTCTTTGACCAGTCCCTGCCCCTCCTTTCAGCCGGTCCCACCAGGCCGGGGAAAGCGAAAGCTACATCTTAGTTAGTTTACATACCCAGCTGTTGAATGATGCAATTTGTTAATCTTTCGATTCCTCTGAGCCTCCGAACATGTTTCCATAGTTTGAATATTGCATTTCAGTGTATCCATCGACATCTGATCGAGGGGAGTTTAGTAATGAAACAGAACCATAATTCTCTCACCTAAATTTTACCATTGCCTTCTAACAAATAGGTATTCTCTTTCCTAACTGCTAACAATACATTTGATGGACATTGGTTTCATTTATTTTTACTTAGTCCATCATATGAGAGAATCGTGTTCAGCCATTTAAAAAGGATGATGTAAATCTGTAGTCATTAACGTGAAAAGATCACCCTCAACATTTTGTTGAAGGAAATAAGCAGATTGTGAAACAACTTTTTAATATGAGCCTGTTTATGCAAAAAAATTATATAATTTTTTTATTTTTTATTTTTAAGTATATTTTATTGATAATGCTATTACAGTTGTCCTGTTTTTTTCTACCCTTTATTTCCCTCCACCCTGCACCCTCCTACCAGCCTCCCCCCCTTAGTTCATGTCCATGGGTCATACATGTAAGTTCTTTGTCTTGTCTATTTCCCAAACTTTCCTTCACCTCCCCTCTCTATTTTGTTCCTGCCATTTGTGCTTCTTATTCTCTGTACCTTTCCCCCATTCTTCCCCCACCTCTCAGAACTAGGAACGGTAACATGATAACAAACTCACAACTATCAGCCATTGAACCTAAAACAAAAACAAACTAAGCAAACAACTAGAACAGGAACAGAATCACAGAAATGGAGATCGCATGGATGTTTACATAAAATTCTTTACACTGGCTTCTCCTCGGGTGTGTGTAAGGTCTGGGCGGCGTCAGTGATCATCTCTGAGAAGTGAGGTGTCAGGAGAGTTCCGCTTTCTTCTTTCTGCTTATCTTTGTTGTTTGAATTTCCCACAGGGAGTATCTTTGTCATCGAGAAAAAAGATTAACATTACCAAATATTACAACTCCAGGTAGTTTTCATTCACTCAAGGCTCCAACTGCCCTCACTTTAGCCTACTTTATAACCAGTCACTGGTCAAAAAGAGCATTAATATTGAGCAACAAAATGGTGATTTTTTTTTTTGGTGGGGATTCTTCGACCAAGTTTCTTGGAGAGATTCATACTCACCCCAGTACTTCGGACTCATCTCTGATTTGAAGAGGTCAGAGGAACAGGATGGTCCCAGGAGCAAGAAATTACAGCTTACAGGAGGGTCGTCATCATTCCCACTGCCTGCGGCCTGCAGGGTCATGTCCCTTGTAGAACGGGGCCTGGTCCTCCCTGGTTACAGGCGGGATGGCTGTCTAGCCCTACGTAAGGTGTTTGCCAATGGATTTATCAGTCATCTGAGGGGTGGCTCAGCTTGTAAGGGGAACCCCAATATAATAATGCACCTTTAAAACACCTTTCCATGCTAAAATCCCAGTAAGATATTCTCCCCTCCCCCCGCCCTCTGGCCCTCAGCCCACTTCTCGGACGTGCCTACATTTGAGGAGAAGAATTAAAAATAAGGAAGTATCTGAGCCTATCGGATACCCTGAGCATTTTAAGCCACCAGCAGAAATCAAGCTGCATACATATTTTCATAGAAAATCCATAAAGAATGAAAAATACTTTGTGGTTGTTTATCAACTGAGAAATTGGATTTTTTAAAAGCACAATATGCCTGTTGGTGCCAGTTAATTTTAACCAGCAATTTTCTGGATCATTTGTATATGTTCTGCGAGAGGACTAAATTATTGTGTACTGTTACTTTTTGTGCGGGTGAGAACTATAAAATCAAGCTCACTGTCATTATTTATATTGAAACTCTTCGGAAACCTCGAGAAAGCAGTAAGGCGTTAATGTTTATCTCTGTGGAGTTTGGGGGGGGGGGGAAGAAAGGCAGCTTCCCAGGGTGGCAGCGAGGTGCTGCCCGGCTCTGAATGGGGCTGCACTTCAACAGGAAGAGTTCATGACGACCATACACTCGGTTTTAAAGTGCGACCTCGTACACTAGTGATTTTTTTCTGTGTTCTGTTCGGCACTATTATTAATGTAGTAAAATCAGTAGCATTAGTCATCTTAAAAGGGTTATTACTCAAGATGATTTAAATTGTGAAAATGTCAGCGGAGCCTGCACGCATCCGGCCGGAGACGCCGTGATTTACGCGCCCTGACACCGCCCCCCCCCCACCCCCCGCCGCCGCCGCCGCCGAGGACGGCCAGCTCGGGGACGGCTCGCACTCCCCCGCGCTGATCCGGATGCGGAGCGCGGCGTCGGCGGGAGCGGGGCTCCCCGTGTCGGCCGCTCGTGTGTACCGGGTCACGGTCTGCATGCTTCACACGGACCCCCAGAGGCTCCCCCATTAGATGGAGGGTTCAGTGCAGGGAAGAATTAGAAACGACAGTGAGTGCGAAGAAGAATCCCATCCGCCAGACCTCGTTCCTGATTTTCAGCGCGGTCTCCGTGGGACGCGCAGCGCCACCGAACATGGGTGTTGGGGACACGCCCGGTGACACTTGGAACCTAAAGGGCTCAGCAGACTCAGTCGCTCGGACGGCAGTTTCCCGAGATAACCGACCCGAACACACAGTGGCTCGGGAGCCGTGGTTTCCACAATATTTCTCACCGATGTGAATGGACAGAAGAACCTCAAGTTCCGATCAAATCCGGAAAAGCTGCCACAAAACAGAAAACACCAACTAATAAACTGCCAATAAGTCGTGACGTACAGGGTCTGGCACAAATAACGCCCCCTTTCTTTAATCACAAAGTCTTTTATTGCAAAAGCGTAAGCACGTCATTCTGTAACGTAACAACACCGCGCTCAAGCACACCGTATGGCATTTTAGGCGACATGCTCACATGGCGGTCCCTCTCACGCGAGGCATCCACGTGCCCTACCAGCCTCGCTCCAGCAGGTCCTGCTTCTGCCGGACCCTGTGTGTTCTCCCTGGCACGGCAGCAAAACAGTATCGAGGTGTGGCTGATTCTTGTTTTCCCTGTACAATAAACTAGAGCTTTCCAGAGCCTGCATTTTTTTAAAGCAGGTGAGGGGGGCAGGGTTGGCAGAAGGAGGTCGGGATTGGGGCTGATTGTGGCTTTTGACGCAGTAACCTCTCACTCCACCCGCCGCATAGCCCGGCTTCACCCCCTGAACTAACTGTAAGTCCCGGAACTCGCTTTGTGGGCTAGTCGTTTTGGCACGGTTGAAAACACCCATAATTTCCAAATGCTGTCTGATTGGACTGTTTTATTGACATGTACAATGTAGCCTCCTTCTTAAAGCCTGGACTTTCCTGCTGTCAAGTTCTGCCCACAAAGTGAAGTTTCTCTGTATTCATGTTTTCACCATAACAGTGTCAGAACAGTTTCGAAAGGGACCCTTCAGAGGGTAAGAGTAAGCTCTTGGGTGGACGTGAGCCGGCACCGCGGAGGGGAAAGTGACCGGCATGTGGGACCCTGGAGCCCCATGCGGGAGGGAAAGGGAAGTGAGTCTTTTTTTGCCTGACACGTGTGCTCTCCCGCCCCTGTGCGCCCCCAGATGAACACCTCTCTGCTGGGAAGCATCGGCATGCTGAACTCGGCTCCCCAGCTGCGCTGCATGAAAACCTACCAGGTGCCCCCCGTGCAGCCGGCCTCCCCCGGCCCCCACAACGCCCTCCGACTGGCGCGGCTCATCTGGACTTCCAACCGCAACGTCATCCTGATGGCCCACGACGGGAAGGAGCACCGCTTCATGGTCTGAGGCTGGCGTCGCCGGCCTGCCCCTCGGCACCTTCCGTTCCCCACGCCGAGATTCCTCCGTCCTTGCGCCAGGGCTGGGTCACTGCCCGGTGCCTGCCCACCCAGGGTTCCCCAGGGAGGCGGCCAGCTCTGTGTCACTTCTGCATGGTCCGGGACAGATGCCGGCTCCTGCCACCTCCGGGTTCAGAGGCACGCACCTGGCGCTCTGCAGGCTGGGGCCCTTCTGTCACGAGGTCACCTTCCTGCCCGAGAGGGAGGGGCAGCCAGCGGTCCCTGGGAACGCTCCGGGGCTGGTGCAGCCGAGCCTGGAAATCAATAAACTCTGTGATTGCAGCCCAGCCCAGGTCGGCGCTTCCTCCCGCCGAACCCCCTTCTTGAAGCGCTGCTCCAGCCTGGCCGTCTTGACTTGGGTCTGAGGTCACGCGGCAGTCCTAATTGTCAAAGTTATTGTCCTTTGGGTTTCCTAAAACATACTATTGTTTACCAAAAAGATTCTGTGTTTACAGGGGTTTTTTCCTTCAGCTGATTGTTAGGAAATTGCTCAATCGATTTCCTAGGGTGTAGCCACTACCTTCTTTATCAATAATACCTAACTGATCTGAGATTAATGAGAATATATTAAAAAAAACACATTTTTTTCCTTGTGGAGAACACAGTTTCCCAGACACCTAGCATTCTAAAATGCTCATACCCTGCTTAGTGATGGTGTATTTAGTGGTTTAAAAATAAAATCATCTCTGCTGATGACCTAGTTAATATCATTATCCAGCCGCCATAACTAATGTGTTGAACAGACTTTTATAATCAAGAACCAAGTCTGGAAGCATAACACATGCCTGAGAAGCAGACAGCTGTGTCTGTCACTACAGGCCTTTTCAGGAAAGAGCTTCCCCTTCCCTCCAGAAACTGTGGAGACCTGCAGTCCCCTGCTAGGGCTTATGTCCACTACCGTGCAATAGTGACAGTTCAGCCTTCAAACTATTGCTGACCAATCAAAGGAAAGCAAAGGCAGCATTTCTTTTAACCAGGTATCCTGGCACATCAGTAACAGCAGGGCAGGGTTCAGGAGCGTATACAGAGATGTGAGGGTGCGCCAGCCTGAGCAAACACTCACCGAGAGTGTGCGTCACGCTCTGGAGTCAGCTTTAACGAGGCGGCTTTTCCCTATGTCCAGCTCTGCTGGCTCTTGCTCATAGTAATGGGGGGGCAGGATCCATAAAATAGTATTTTGTGTGAATTGCTCCTAACAAACCTCCATCTGCATATAGCTGGGGATTTGGTTGGTTGGCCAGTTGGGTAACATGGTTTATTAATGCAGAAAGATCAAATGAGTTATGAAATTCGGAGAAAACATGTGATGTTTACAAAGGAACCAAAATGGTAATGGGAGCATTTAACTTGAAGAGCCTAGATGTCAGGGTTTACGGGATAAATAAGAGTAAGATCGCAGTCTGGGATCAAATGCCTCTGTGATTTTATTGGAGCAGATTTTTAAAGACCACGTACAGAAACCAAGACCACTAGAACACCCCTTTCCTGTTGATATGAAGCACATTGTTTCCACTGGTGGAAAACCTGTGCTTTTCCCTGGTCGTAGACTTCGGGTGTTCTTTCACAAGCGAATTTATGAAACATGCATGCACATTGTATTTATACAGATTATATATGTAGTTTCCAGGAAGAAACAGGACCACACAGTGCAGGCTTTACTCGTGTGCTGAACGCACGGCTGTTCCGCTGTGGATAGAGAAACCCGAGGCCAGCAGAAGGGGCACCCAGAGGCGCCTCCCGACTCCTCGCGAGACCCAGCACACGTTTGCTTCGTGAACTCGAATGGGGATTAATTTATTCTGCACTACGCAGGGATGTCGGAACGATGAAGTGGGAGGATACCTTGGAGATTTTTTAAAACAAAGTGTTGAGTGCCTCGGGAGGAAGGCGTGAGACCGCAGGGCAGGCCACCACACGCGCACGGGTGGGGGACGCGCGGCGTGGAGATGAGGACGGCACCGGGAGGCCCACGGGAGCGGCACACCGCGCAGTGGGCTTGACCGGCCCGGTCACCCGTTGTCTGCACAGCCGGCGGTTATTGGCCAGGAGAATATTCCAGCTACAGCGCTCTGGACTGGATAGTATTTGAGGGTTCGACAGCTGCCTCTGCCTGCTGAACTAATATTTGCATTCTTGTGAGCCCAAATCTCCCCGTGGCTGTGCCGACAGCCCCCCGGCTTAGATTCGTCGGCCCGGCGGAGCCCAGCTTCGTGCCGTCATTCCAGTGCGTGTGTTCAGTGGTGTGTGAGCGTCGCCGGCGCTGTATGTGGACCTGTCCTCGTACATGTGGAGGCATGTGTGGCTGCGTGGACGGTTTACAAGCAGAAGGTCACGTGACATGACACCTGTGTGAAATGGTAACGCTTGAACTGGCTGTGTACAGAGTGAATTAAAGTATCTGCCTCTCAAGACGTTTCTTGATGACTCCACTTAATTGATAGGCTCTATGTGTGCTGAGTGTTCCTCTGTACATACGTGTGTTAAATAAAAGTGGATTGTACTGGAGATTGTTTTTCCCATTAAAAACATCCTTCACGCTTAAACATTGCCCATTGGAATCCGTATGCTTTTCCCCCACCCCCACTCCCTTTGCTACCAGATCAAGCCTTCTCTTTCCATCTGATCATTGCTTTCCCTGGAGAGCTAGCGTCAGGAAAGGCCAGCCTGTTCACAAAGGTCAGTAGAACAGGAAGGAAGGAAGCCCCTCTCCTGCCCTGCCCGACGTGTGAGAACCAGAAACACCCCTACCGGAAACTCAGCAGCGCCCTCTGTGGTTTGGGCAAGGGAATTGCATGCATGATACTTTAATCTCTACCCTAAATTGCTCCTAAACAGACTGTTAATTGTATCAACTTATACTTTATCAGACGTGATGATACAGGTTCAGTCCCTGGGGTGAGGGGGCTGGGCTGAGATCATGAATTCCATTTAATACTCTTGGAGTTGAATTTGAATCCCTGAGGTAAATGGTGGAATTGGTTTTCAAAAAAAAAAAGCAAGAGTAACAAAAGAAGTCGTGACTCACAGAAGGATTATACTTGTAAGTAGTGAATGCACTTCTTTAATTTTAGTGAACACACTTCTTTAATTTTCAGAGAAGACTGTAGAACATCTTCAGTCATAGCGCAGCAGCATAAATCCTGTAAGAAGCAGGCAAACCTGAAAGGAGTCGATGCAGCGTCTTCGGCCCCGTCCTCACGCCCAGTGTCCGTCCCAGGACCTGTGTGAACATCTCCTGATGACTTCAGTGTAGCCGGGGAGGGGGACAGGGGCAGACCCAGTTCTGTGTGACGTGTGCTCACACAAACCGATCAAATGTGGAAAGGGCGTGACATTAATAGGAAGGTAAAGCCAAGCAGAGATGGGTGAACTTTCACCTTTCACCCCTCCGGCTGACTGACAGAGCCGAGTGTTGGAGAAAATCAATACTTTGGAGCCAGGAGGGAAATATTTCCAGCCTCTAACTAGAGAATTGTTTTGACAAGGCCAAGATAATCCAAGCTGCACAGGAGAAAGAGAAAAGAAGACTCATTTTTAAAGCTTGACACTTCAAGGTGTTTTTGTACAATGGTTTAGAGATCGTCAATACATACAAATACCAAAGGTCAGAAAGAAAAGCCAGAGAATTTCAAAAATTAGATGTTCAGTTCTTTCTGCTGTTTACAAACTAAAGAAGTGTCTGTGCTTGTAATTGTCGTTTAAAGGAGCCGAGCTTTCAGGATCTCATCCTTCTTTAATGAGAACTAAAATTGTTTAGAGCAGCCCTATGAATAGCAGATGCCTGGAAAGGCGGCTAGACTTTGTTTCTGTACGTATTTTGTCTTGGTCACACCATTTTGCACTAACGTCTCAGAATCTTGTTTTTTAATTCATGTTGGCAAATCTTAGTTCTTCCTTCACATTTGAGTCAACTATTTGCATGAGAAAGTGGTTCATGTCCCTTTGGGACTTGACTTGTTGCTAGTTTCTCCGAGACCCTTTAAGCAAATTACTTAAAAAAGTGCCCTCATTAGTGCTTTTCTACATGAGAGGCTTATGCACCTCTAGGAAACAGGTGAGCACTTCGCTGCACTTACACCAGCAAGATTGGATCCATTCGTCCTGTGGACAGTTGCCTCCACTGTAGGGACACAGATTCTTTTCTTCTCTACCGATGGTAAAACGGTGGACCGGGTGCCCACGCCATCCAGCCAAGCGCGGGACAAAGGGATCCTGAGCAGGTTAAGTGTCTCAAGCAACCTCTGTTTTCTCATTGGCTTGCTGTGAACATGTGTTAATTATACGATCATTAAAATAACAGTGAAAATACAGTCTTCATTTATACACCCTCTTTCTCATTAAAAAATTCCACTCTACTGTATTCTGAGAAGATCGATCTGGCTGGGGAATTTTCGTTTTAGCATTTGCACATGGGGAACACAGCCAGCCAAGATTCCTTGATATTCTGTGATTTCCCAGAAAGGCCAGAAATCGAGCACGTGCCTCAGAGGGTGCCTGTACAACGCCGGCAAGCGTGGTGCACAGTCAGCGATACATGGGAACCAACAGTTTTAGTAGACGCTCAGATGTCCTCGTTGAGCATGGGTACACAAGACCGTACAGTTACCCTGCTCTCTGGAAAACACAGTTGGACTTTTGCATTGCTGTGCTTCTGTGTGGACGCCCATAGTAAGTCTGGACATCGTCCCCAAAGGGAAGTCTCTGGTTCTACCTGCGTCCATCATGCTCATCACTGTGTTGCTGTGTGTTACTGTCTTCTCACCAAAGTTTGTCGACATTGAGGGGATTTCCGAAATCTATGCCCGTGGATGAGGCTAGTTGATTATGACTCAGATTGTGACAAGTTGCTTATAAAGAACTGTGGTGAACTGGCTGTTCACCGCATTCAAATTTAGGGTGCATATTAACATCGGGGACATCTTTGATTTAGCAAACAAGTATCTTCCAAAAACCACATCTATCAAGATTGAACAAGACTCTGGTAAAGAGTTAAAGAGTAGGTTTCATGTCATCACCAACGCAAAGGAAGCTGAATGTGTAATTCTGTTGGCAACAGCTTCTTGTCTTGACTAGAGTCAGAATGACTTGGTACTCCAATTTCCCCAAATGCAAAGAGTATTGTCTGAAACTTGCCCAGACTCTTGCCCCCTGACTCCCACCCTGGGACTGAAGCATTTTCTCCCCCTCGCCCCCACAGGTGCTGGAAAGGTCGGCATCTCATAGCCCTTCTGAGTCCTTCCCTGGGGATTGCTCCACAGCCAGAGAGCTTGTGTGACCCAGGGTCATTCTCCCTCTCCTGGGGGTGGCCACACTCACTGATGGGGGGGGTATAAAAACTCTTTGAAGTGCCCCCAGCTCTACAATCCCTTTGGGGTTGGCCAAAGCCTTCATTGAAGCCCACCACAGCCTGCCCAGCCCTCCCCGCCCCTCCCCTGCAGTGTGGATCCTGAGAACACTTTCCATAAACTCCCCACACACAGATCTCTAGCTCACAGCCTGCATCCCCCAGAACCCAACCTGTGCCAGCTGGTACCGAGAGTGGTCCGAGGAAACAGGATCTAAAGTGGGATGGGGAATGTGGGTCACCGCTGAGTTACTGGCACTGAGGATCCTACCACTGGTGGCAGGTGATCCTGGGTAGCTTCTGCCGTGCTGGACCCATGCCTTGTTAACTTTCATTGGCGTTAAATACGGGACGGTGAATTTAGGATGGCACACCGAGGGAGGGGATGCACGGGTCGGTGCAGCGTGGCAGGTGTTGAGAAGGAAGGGGAAATAGAAACTGTGAGGACAATGGATTTGGATGACTGTTGCTGGGCACACTGGAGAAAAAGACAGTGAGAAGCCGAGGGGGATGAATCACTGATGAAAGGCTGGCTGGGGAAGTCCAAGAGCCCTGGGCAGCACCCCTGGGGAGCCTCACTTCCTGCAGCCGCGTGTAAGCCGTGGGTCAGGCCCAGGACCTGTTTTGTGAAGAAAGCTCCAGAAGATGCTGAACTCTGAGCCTCCAAATGTCTTCAACCCCAAGGTGAGAGCCCTGAGCAAGATGGACGGGGGCTATCTGGGTTGATGCACTTGAACAATCTTGAATCCCCAGAATCTAGGAACTCTCCCTGGCACGCCGAAGTGGCCCGCTCCTTAGCTTGAGGACAGTGCAGAGGCCTCTCCCTTGCAAAACGACACTGCTCCCCACCTCCTGTCCCAGCCATTAGACCATGTGGCTAGGGCTAAGTCACAGCAGAACCGGCTGTGGGAATGCTGGTTCCCCAAATGCAAAGAGTTCTCAGCTGGGCTCGCTGAGAACCAGATCCCAAAGGAGGTAAGCCCCAGCTGACACGTGCCTGCAGGGACTGGGAGAGGCATGACACTGGATTCGAGGGGCACTGGGACAAGGGGAGACAGAATGTAAAAGAGAGGAAGGGGAGATCACTTCCCCTTACGGGGGAAGGATACAGGATTTAACACCCTGGCCAGGACTCAGGGACAAGAAAACAACAGCTGCGGCCAAGTCCAGGAGAAATGCCAGGCCTGCCAGTGCAGATGGCAGAAGAAAGAGCCCAAAGGCTCCGGCTGGTAGGCCTGCCGGAGCAGGCGAGCTGGGTAAGGCCGGAAACCCACCGGAAAGCGGGCGGCTCCCGAGCAGCACCACTGGTTCCCTGTCCCAGGAGGGAATCTGCTTCTCCGTTGGTTAAGCCGCCCGCAGCCAAAGCTTGAAAACAGACTGTGCATTGTCCAGTGACATGGCGAAAAGGGCTGCCAAGTCCATGAGCTGAGGCCTGACAGTCTTCATGGTCAACGCTGAGGAGTTGGGCTTTTTCCGGGGAGGTCTAAGGAGATCCCAATGTGTTTAAGGGAGGGAACCCACCTGTTTCTGGGCTGCTCCTGGTGAAGAAGAGGTTAGAAAATGGAGGAATTATGTCAGGAAGACCAGGTGGGAGACGGGCAAGTCTAATCCAGAGATCCTGAGAACCAGCTCTTACTGGTGTGGCTCAGTGGATTGAGTGCTGGACTGCGAGCCAAAGGGTTGCTGGTTCGATTCCCGGTCAGGGCACACATACCTGGGTTGTGCATCACAGCTCAGTGCTGTTTTTTGTCTTCATTTAATTATTTTTAGAAGGTGTTGATTATTTTTAAGAGAGAGAAAGAAAAAAGAGAGGAACATCATTGTTCCACTTACTTATGCATTTATTGATGTGTGCCCTGACTGGGGATTGAACCCACAACCTTAGCATATCAGGATGGTGCTCTAGCCAACTGAGCTAACTGGCCAAGGCAAGTGTTAGTGCTTTCATTCCTACTATTCTCTCCCCAATGGGAGCCTTCCATAGTGAATTCCTATCAGCATAACCCCACATACCAGCCTTGCTACAACACAGATGTGTTCAGTTTGCACCATTGGGAGCTGCAGTATCTACATTAGGAGCATAAGCCCCAGGAGTGAGAACCACCTACACAAACTGTGTTCAGGTGACCCTCTGAACCCCACCATTCCACACTGCAACCCA